TGGTTTAGGTGAATGAGATTGTTTAGCAGGCACTAAGAAGACCAATTAAAGTTCTAGTGCAGCATGGATATAATAAATCGAAGTATACCTTCATCGTGCAGTTTAGGCACTTGTCGAGTTGTATTTCGTAAATGAGGTGGACGATAGGCTTGTGGAGTTTTTTCTAGAAAAAAAAAGAAAAATATAATAACAAAAATAAATCATCATTTCTATTATCAAAATCTCACGTTTGCTACTGATATTTGTAGTCGTCGAAGACGGATCGGAAGCTATTGGTTGTTTATTTCCACGATTATATGTTCCTGGTTGCCATAGAACTTGCCACAATTCTTGATTGTCTGATGTACGATGTTCAAATATCAATTCACCCGTTAAACGCCAAATTTTGAAACTAAAGGGAGATGATAATGATGTTTGATTAGAATTTGAGTGTACCATGTTTTTCTAAGACGAATCAAGAACATATCTGAAACTCAAATCAGCAGACATACATTAGTTGGAAAATTTTGCTGTATGACAAATTGAACGTCGAAAATAGGAAAGCAATGTGATAAGAGAGAAAAAGCTCCCTAATATTTATGTAGAAAAGTGACTGATGATTTTTTCTGTGCTGAATAACACGTGACCTGGTTCATTTTTGTCTGTATTTCAGTTCTGTTTAAACCGCATTTTCTTGATTCTACGAGAACTAATATATATTCATTGTTAAATTCTTACCCATTATTAACCCTTAATCTTGGTGCTGTTGTTGCAGTGATGAAATGGTAGTTATCGTAGCACCATTGAAAATAAGTGGTATCTGGCACATTAATGTGTATCAATTGTTTTCGAGCTTTTACATCCCACATTTCGATGTTGCCACTAACATTTCCAAATCCACATAAAGCAAGATAAGTACCATCGGTGTTATAATAAACAGCATTTTTGGCTCCAACACTCAATTCCCATGATATATCACATTTTGAATTGAACATTGTGGCTTTCGATGGCATGTCTATCGCTTTAATTAAGAATTTATTCGTAGATAAAACGAGTACTGAAGAAAATAAACTATAAAATTATGTGTGTAGAAAGGATACAGCCATAAACAACACAAAATTCATCAGTAGTCGGAGACCATTCCATACTATAAATGGGACCATTTTTGGCTGAAAAAAGAGGAGAAAAAGCAATAAAAGAGTGCCCTTTCTATTTCATTAAACTATGTATTCAACCTACATAATGTAATATTGCTACTATCACCATTCTTATTTAAATGCTGTAACATTGTGTCACCATAATAACTGTTTTCGGACATATCTGAACTACACAGTACGAGCAATGCTGTACCTAAACAAAAACAACGATGACCGTGTTTATTCTTTAAATAATTTTTCAAATTAATCACCTTTATAATTCCATTTCATGTTTACATGATCAAAATTGAAAAAACTTTTATTTGCGATTGTCGATTTTAAATCTGGATATTGAAATAAACGTACGCAGTCAGGAATACCCTAAAAGTACAATTATTTTTCAATAATCTGCTGTCATACCAATGTTATATCATACACCAAGGATGAAGTTTAGAAGAGACATTTTACTCGTTTACCTTTTTACCCTTGACAAAGGCTGATATCGTGTATGGTGGTACACTTTTTCCCATACTGAATATTTGTAAACCTTCAAGTTGTAAACGGTTAGTATAGCGTTCTAAACAAGACGAGGAAATTTTATTGCATGTTTTCTTGTTTCGTGTAGAACCAGATATGTTACCAAAATTTGGAAGTTCATAAAACCAAACTTGATTTGTCTGTAGACGTCCAAAAATCTTTTCATCATTCGACCAAATCGGTGCCCTTGAAAGAACGACAAATATTGTTAAAAATTGAGTTTTTCATAGATCAATTGATCGCACCAATCTGCTTGTCGTTTTTGAACATACTGTCCAACAAGTTCACCGGTATCTGATTTGTAGATAAAAAGATTTGGTGGTTCCTCTTCACCGGGAACCGCTACAAAGAAAAAGAATATATAGACGATTCAAAAATGATCAGTTAAAAAGAAAAACTCTTTCTAACTTACTTTACATACCAGAAAATGGTTCAAATAACAGCAGATAAGTATCATTTGGACTATATTTTATTGCACATATTTTTCGTTTATTTATTTCATACAGAACATGACGAGTATTACAGCAATAAACTTGGACTCTAGAATCATGAAAAAATTGAGTTCATGATGATTGTATGAGACTTTGCTTTGGCGAAAAAGATTATCTACTTTGTTCCATCACCCATAACAAACTGATGTCCACTTCGACTAAAGCATGTTAAACGACAATTTTCAACGTCATGACTTAAAACTTTTTCAACTGATTCAGAATGAACGGGACTGGTCACAAGCTGAACTCCACCGGGACCACGTACTAAACATAAAGCATTCATCTAGATGAAAAAGCATATACATTTTCATAATCTCGGCAATGTGGATTAACCGACGACAGAGTCAGAGCATGATTTCTTAAGAAATCATCAACGACTAATTTTCATTTACCTCCTAATAAAGGAACGGTGCAAGTATTTTGTGGCAATGATGATTGACTTTGAACACTTGTTGCTGAGGCGGATGCCATTCTGCTATCTGAAAACAAACCGTAGACTCTGTCAGTTTTAAATGAACCTTTATCCTTCATGAATTATCAGCATAAATCAAGAACAAAGTCATTTTTGATTTCACTATTTCGAGTGGCAATCCGTACTCACAGTGGCTGAAAAAAGTATTTCTCTAGGTCCGATCGTCCGAAAGATGAGTAATCAGGAAGAAAAACAATTGTCTTTCGTAAACTGCTATGAAAAAAGTGTAAAATTATCATTGGCACACTAAAGTTATACTGCTAGACGTTTTCCTTTCTTAGATTATATATGATATACTTTTCATGATTTTTTCCGCAAGGTGAGTCAGAACAATTACATAGGATTGCAGTAGCAGAGAAACGAACAAAAATACGAGTACTGATCCTCCATAAAGACAATGATGTATTCATGAGAACGACATCACTTTTGCTTTTGGGCGTCCTCTATGACTAAGTCTTTTCTTTTTTCGGACAAAAACGCTTTTTTTCAAAACTTTATGTCATTACCGCATAGCAATTCCACTTGGGATTTCAAAAGACAAAATTGAGATAATATAAGATGTGTGTATAAGAATGTGGCTATAGCGTGCTATGTAGGAAAGCGGGGTAGTTCTATTTTGGAAATGTGCCACATTCATATCGACTTTCTGCCACCCGTATGGCGCTTTCAGGACTAGTAGAAGTCATCACGGTGATCACAAAAACCATCTTAAAAGCTTTTCAAAATGACCGCATGGTGATCTCCTGACGAGGCCCTGAAAGACTTTCCAGCAAAACTGTTTTTGTTATAACTTTGTCATTTCAAAAGATGAAAAGTTCAAACTGCGTTTACAAATACTACTCACCAATACGAACATCTTTTGTGGCAAAAAGATTTTCCTCCAGTGTTCTGGCTTTTTAAGAAAAATTATATAAAAACGCAATTTTTGCTGTTTTTCCCATTCAAATATCTCTATGAAGGCAAAACGAAAACTTAACATCAATATATGATTTACAATCCCCAATCTCTTGTCTGTCTAATGATGAAAACCACGAAGTTGCAGCTGTTTTCTGGGCTGAATAGTAGAGCAAATACTGGCCGCTAGTTTACAATTTTTACCAACTTCCGCTTCCTCCATTTCAAAGTGAAAATTTAAAGTTCTCACTTTGAAATAAGAGAAAAATAATTCTTTTGCGTTCTTGCAATTCAAAGATGAGACCGCGAACACAGTATTGGATGCGCTAGTAATGCCGCATGCCCGCATCATAATGGAATTCATTAATATAACTCACGGATTCCATTGTGATGTGGCATTTACACAACATCGTGAAGCAATGGAATATTCGTTGTGATACAGTATTCCGACGATGCAAAATAAGCTTTTTTCAGCTTTTTCTAGGCAATCTTCATAGGGATACGCATCTAATCAGCAGCTTTTCAGGCAGCATGTACAAATTCTGAGGATGGCAGCGATGCGCATTTTTTTGGCATCTGTCCGACATTTTTCTGCAGGGATGCGCACGAATGCTGAAAATGGCAGGGACGCCCATTCATTTGGTATTTTCTTGGCAGGGGAGCGCATGGATACCGGATCTGGCAGCCTTGCATACTCCTGCTATTTTGGATTTTGTAATGTTTTATTTTTATAGGGAATTCACACATCGAAAACGAAACACATCCACGCATAAACTCGATCCAATCATTACACATTGAATAATCAAGTAACTATACTTTGGTCTAAACCAAAAATGTCACTATTTAACAGACTTAATAGAACTCGAATTACTTTTGAAAGTTATCACTTTCTATGTAAGAACTCTTGTGTGTGTTTGGATCTTACAAGAAACGAAGGTAAGTGCAAACTGAAACAATCCCTCCTTGTATTTCACTTCGATTTATTAAACAACAAAGAAAATATGAGAAAAAACGAAAGAAAATTAAAAATAAAAGTTTCTTCTTTATTAATAGTCTCGGCTTCCACGGTCATCACAACCATAGCCGCCACAGCAACTATTATTATAATCGCCACTAACACACATAAACCCAACATATTACTAATACACATAAACCAGACAAAACGATTCTCAATTCCAACATAACAGACCGCTACTTCCAACGAGCAAAACATTCGTAACAACGCTTAAAACAACACCAAATAATCATCAACCTAGAGGGGCAGCATGCCACCTCCGACGTCGACCAATATCATTTATATTTCCTTAACATTTTGCAATCAAAAGCCCCATCTTTCCCTTCATTTCCATCGTTTCTTTGGCTATCAAAATGGCAAGCCAAACGATAGCAGCACTTCTAGGCTTTATATATGACAAAAGCATTCAGTAAGAGTGTATTGTTAAAGTATGATGCATAACGATAAAATTTTCTTTAAACAAACTTGGTACGGTGTGAGAGCTTTTTCTATATTACTCATATCCAACTGCAATCACTTTTTGTTTAATCTTCATCGATACTCACCCTCGACCATACCCACACCGGCGCCTTTGAATCTCAACTGTCGTTGCGTCCAAATGTCGTGCAATACATTGTGCGCCCAAATGTCGGTATACGGAAATAAAAGGATGGTCGAAAAGAAGAGCATTTCTCGTTGAAATCGTGTTTCTCATATACTTTATTGCAAAAAAAATGGAGAACAAAAAACCATTTAATCACTTAAAATCAATAATTAACTGATGATTTTTTCATGGATCACGATTAATGGTCAAAACTGCCGTGATTTCGACGACATGGGTGATTGCACTCTTTGCACATTGTATTAATTGTTATGTATAGATCTATAACTTAATCTAACTTGAATGTTCCTCGATGATAGATAATACAATGATGAATGTCAAGATCACCTAGTTGAACATTACTTTCGACTTTTCACTCAATGTAGATGTTCACTGTGAATTAATTGATGCAAAAATTTAGCGAACAATAATAATAATAAGAGTCAGCATATTTCGAATTTCATTTGTAGATGATAAACTTCGATCTGAGGATTATCTTTTCGTATGGCTCTTAAAATACTGAAAAACCTTGTTCTAAATTTTAAACATTGCACCTTTTTATCAGAAAGAAGATCTTGAGCAATCGAAAGTTAAACTAAAATCAAAAAAGATTTATAAAGAAGAAAAAGACATCTTTGCATCATAAGATAAAAATATTTGCCGTGCTACCTTCTCTAGTTAGCATAATCTAACGTAGTTTTTATGGGTTTCCTAAAACAACTCCATAATAGATGTGATACGTATAACATTAACTAATATACTCAGTTTCTGTGTCCACTATCAACACCGTGAATTTTCCTAAATACACTTGTTTTTTGTAAATAATTATATATTCTACATAACAATAAAAATAACTAGTCAATAGTGTAAATGACAAAACTTAAAAAATAGAAAACAGTGAATCCATTAATAGCCCACCACTTTCACTTTTGGTGGTGTAGTAATAGTTGTTAAAGTCGGTATGGACGTCACTTGATCACCTTGTGATGGCATTGAAGTAGTGGGTTTTTCTTGTTCACCTGCAACTTTTACCTTTTGTTTTTGACTAATATCTTCGATTGAATCATCGACTGGTTTTAATAACGGTTTTTCAAATGTATAGAGTAAAGGATCGGATGGTGGTAACCAATTTGGCGTAATTTTTGAGTGCACACGCCAAATTCCATACGGATTTGTTAATAATTTTTCAAAGACAACGTATTCTAAAACATCTTTTGGTAATGTCTCACTACCGAACATTAAACGTCCAAAACGATCGTAAATAGCACATGTCTAAATATAACGTAGAATAATTATTTGTGTTGGAAAAAAGAAAGAATATGTTGTTGTATACCTGTTTTGAATGCATTCTAACTGTTACTTGAGCGATGGTCATGCCTTTTAACATGTCGCCACTTCGTATAGCAACTACATAAGCTGGCTCAATTTCTTCAACCCATTTCCATCTTAATGTTTTATAACGTAAACCACTACTCATGTCCTAGTGAACAAAAAAATGACATACTATCTAAAGTGTATGTCTCATAATCATCGGTCTATCGTCATAATAAAAATCCGTTCACTTTTATTCATTTCACTAGCTCACACAGGAGGAACTAAACACTGTCGAATGTAAGAAGAAGACAAATTTCTCTAAAGTACCACTCAAAATCTTTTCGTCTGTTTGAACACTCTTACAATGTCTGATCATTAACGTTACTTACTACAAATGCTTTTGGTGTGGCATATTGAAGCATACGTTCTTCGTCTCGACTGAAAAATAGAGTAAAGAAGAAATATAACTACTCATATTTTATTCGCTTTAATCCATACTCCATTAGTGCTTGATGTGCTTCTATGTATCGTTGTTGTGCTATATCTGCGAACAAAATTGGTTCAAAATCTGGTTCGTATTTCTTAATCGTTGATGAATGTTTTCGCGATGATACGCTCTTCTTCAATGACACATAAGCTTGACTCAAACGCTAAAACAATGATATAAAAGCAGTTCTATTTAACGTGGCAGAAAGAATCTCCGATATATCTTACGTCTCTTGACATCAATGTAGCTTTACCATCTCCTTCTGGTGGTACATATGCTTCGAGTACTTCAGCTAGAAATAATAGTCATCGTACGTAAACAAAGTTAATAATAAAACTATGATTACTTACCACTTGCATCAAGATAAATTGGTCTGTATTCTGCACTTCTAATGGGTGGTATACCTATAAATATTTATAAAATCAATTTATAATACATTTTTATCGCTTTTTTTCTCTACCTTCTTTTTTAAACTGTTCTCGTTGTTCTTGTATTGATGCTCGTCTTAATCTTCGTTCTTTATCAAAATCAGGCAAATCAATCTAAATTACGGATCAGTAAAATAGTATATATAAATGACTAAAATCTGTTTATTCAATAACATTACATCTAAAATTTTTGCACGTCTCAATGGTCTCCATTTTGGTTCTGGATGATCATTTTTTGTTGCAGTATACCACGTTCGTTTTGTGTTAATAATTCCAATATTTTCAGGTATTACACGTAATACATGGTTAGTCGATAATTGAAATAAACGACAGACTATTGTGCTTAATGACATATCTAAAGAGAAAAACTCGTCATACTACTAGTAAACCATCATTTCTTAAAAAGTAACAGTACTAAAACTTATTAGATATTGCTGTACATAGTGAAACATCAGACTAAAGTTCAAGTTCTTTATGTAATCTAATATAATCCTGTTGATACTCTTGTTACGATTAACATCTCTAGTAGATCTTATTAAGATTGTGTAAGATCTTAATAAGATAATTTAAAATCTATATTTTGTTTTGTTCGTATGCATCTAATAAGGAACATCAAAAATATAACTGAATTTTACATTTTTCTTCGCGACTTTGCTCATACTTGCACCAAAAGTGTTCAACAATTTGTAAACGAGTGTACATTGCAAGTCAACACAAAAGAATGAACGCCTAAAACCATAACAAAATTTCTTTTTCGTTCTTCAGAAGTATCCGACTGAATTTTTAACTATGCAGAACAACAAACTCAAACCAGCACACAATTCTGTAAAAGAACTTTATCAGCACTTGAGCAAGATATTCAGAAATTCTTACGAGGAAACGGGTTCCCAGGTGTCAAACATGTTTTCAATGATCTTATGCCAGTTGATAGAGGAAAGTGTTCTAGTTAAAACTCTAAAAGGATTTGTGCCCACGGTACTTCTTTCAAGAGTTATGAATTGTTTTTGTTTTGCTGGGAACACAGGTACAAAAAGAGATAGGCCAACAATCTTACCAAATCATTACAATGGTGGAATAACTGTTATCCACATAGAGAATCAATTACAAATTAAATAAATTATAGAGAATAAGGACAGAAAAGATAGCTTGTCCATTAGGAAACATTAACAGAACCACATATGATTAATCATAATAAAAGTAAAATGAATGATTGGGAAAACCTGATTTTCTTTAAAAACAAGGAGAATTCAATAGATTATTTTCTAGATAGGCTGAAACGCAGATTCTTTCTCTGATGTTAATCGCGTATTAGAACAATCATAGAAAAAAATGTCAGTTCAAAATTCGCTGTTTTTATCGAGATACAAAACTTTTAGTGTTTTTGTACCTGTTTTCCCAGTGAAACAAAATAAATTCACTCTTGAAAGAAGTACTGTTGACACAAATCCTTTTAGAGTTTTAACTAGAATACTTTCCTCTATCAACTGGCATAAAATCATTGAAAACGAAGTCTGACATCTGGGAAGGTTCCCTCGTTAGTAAATCATGAATGAATTTTATTAAAAAAACAACAATTCTTAGTACGATCTTAACAGAATCTTAGATCTCACGATCTTAGCAAGATTTATCTAAGATCTTAGAGAAATGTAAGCGTAACATTACTAAAATCTTAACAAGATTCGAGTAAGTTTCTTACTGGCGATACTACACTCTGTATATAATTTTGTCATCTCTTTCTTCGCGATTTAAAAGGTGACTATTTTAAGATCACATCATCTGATAAAACAAAAATTATTTTTGCAACTCGCATCACCATAAATGTTTCATCTTCATTAAATAGTTGATGAATATCATCGTTCTTTCCATCTCAATAAGCTAAACAATCGTCTAAAAATGTTAAAAATATATACGCGCTTTAATCAACATGGTAAATACTTTCAAAAAACAAAATGAACTAAACGAATCTATAACAAAAATATTATTCAACAAGCTCAAGATAACAAAGTACATTTTCCCTTTAATACATAGATATATAATTAGAAAAATGTGTTACAAAGAATCAACTTTTTAGAATCAATAATTAGAATAAGAAGTTATAAAATACAAACATGTGTGTCATGTTGCATCACGAACATTCGATACAGAAATAATCAAAAAAGTTCGATGAGCTATAAATGAATTTATAATGCGTCTCATTGATGAATGCTCCTTCAACGAAATAAGACTTTGAACACAAATGACTATGTGGTACTCGAATTGTATCGTACACTAATTATCATTGTTCTTAATTTAGTATTTATTTTGTTTTCGTCGTCGTTGGTGTTGTTGTAAATCGTTCTAAACAATGGGCCGCTTCTTTCAATTTTTCCACTAATTCTTGTAAATTTTCTGGTGTACATTGAAATTGTATATCTTCGATATTTTTCGTATATTGTAAACGTTTTTTTAATGTTAAAAAATAATTGGGTTGTACAATGCGATCTGATTGATTCGTTTTTAGATGTAAATTTAAACGCCAATTAATATCAATTAATCGATCGTATTCAATTGTTTTTTCATTTAAATATATTTGAATTATTTTAATATATTGACGATATTTTTCAATAAAATATTGTTGACGTTGTTTTAATGTTAAATTGTATTCTTCAAATTTTGATAAAATATTTGCATCATTTAAATCATATTTTGCACATTCAAATATAAATGTTAATAATGAGGATACAAGACGATTTAAGAGAATTGAATCAATTGATAATGAATCAAATAATGATGATGAAGAAGATGTTTGAGAAAATAATAAAAATGTTTTATCAACTATTTTTTCATAATTATTATTGTTTAAAATTGTTTCATCACCGAGACGACCAATATCTTGTTGAATATCATTACTTAATTCCATTGATGATAACAAGATTGAATGTAATATTAAATAGAAACAAAAAGTTCAAGTTTTTCTTTCAAAAAATATTAATTCTGTTTTATAATTCACATAAAAACCATATCTAGAAGTTTAAAATCAAATATTAAAAAAATATGTCTAAAACAAACTAGAATAATTTATCTCCTATCTACATGTTTCATTACAACGTTTTTTCTTCCTTTAAACAAAAGAAAGAAACAGATAACAAAGGTAAAATGAGTCAAAATGGTATGGTCATACAAACGAATAGTACGTTTTTCTAGTGGGAGTCATATAGACAGTAAAGTAGCAAATTATTTATATACTGTCACAACCGATAGAACATTTTTAGAATAGATTCCATCTTCATTCATCGTTTTTTCTCAATAGAATGAGCGTTATCGAACCAACTGCACTTACTTTGTGCAAAAAGATCTCAGACGCTTTTTTTTTTTATAATCAAATATTTTCTGATATTCCAAACATCTTGTATCTATGACAAAACAAGGTCATGTTATGAACCTTTTACAGTTAATACACCACTTCTCTATACACTACGAAGTAAAGAGTAGAGTTTATACTGCCCAGTGTGACAGTTTAATGAATTCTTCCTATTTAACAAAAACGTGACAATAAAAATATAATGTTAATGGACTATATTTCCAAAGAACTAAAATTAAATGAACGTATTGTCATTGAAAATGATCACTGGCTCGT